AGATTGTCTCTGTTTGGGTTACAAAGGGAGAGGGAAAATGGGGGCATTCCATTGCTGATGGAATGCTTTTAGCTCCACCTCCATTGGGTAAAGACAAAAATAAGAACTACAGTGGAGAAGTTGGAGGCCTCCAACCTTCTCAGAGAGTTCTGAAGTCAGTCCTGGTGCAGACCACAGTGCAGGGAGCTGGATTGCCATGAGTGCACCTTTCCTCCTCTGCAGGGCGGTGAGGTTTAAGGGACTTGATTTACTTTGCTGGTGGTTTAGTTTATGTTTAATATTGTCCCTCTGCTTTTGTTGTTTCTATAGTGTGTTTCTCTTTTCTTTTCAGTTTTTGAGCCTAGCTTCAAACATTTTGAACTTTATCACTTCTTCTATGCTGAACTCCAGGAATAACTTCATTCGCAACTACCTGAGCGTGTCCCTGTCGGAGCAGCACATGGCCACGCTGGCCAGCATCATCAAGGAGGTGGACAAGGATGGCCTCAAGGGTGAGTGAGCAAAGCTAGCTCTGGTAGAGCCCACAGGTGTCTCTTTTTTTTAGTTTCATGTCAAGGTTTTAGATACTGGAGAGCAAAGGTGGTAAGGGCTCTCGATCCCTGTCTTACAGGCACGTCAGATGAGGAGTTTGCTGCTGCTCTGTATCACTTCAACCATTCCTTGGTGACCTCAGATCTTCAGTCCCCTGCCCTGCAGGTGAGCTGGGGTTGAATGCATAAATTCATAAATAATGCATTTATGCATAATTCATAAATAAAATGAAGAAGTGTTGGTGTCTGTTTATGCCTCTATATGGATTCTCCACACCCTGAGTAGTGTGTTGGTTGTTCCATTTAGCCTTGAGTATATTCTGCAAAAACAGGTTGGAGTATCTTGAATCCCATGATTTGAATGACCTTTGCAGTCATCCAGCACAAAACATCCTGCACAGTGTAAACTTAACATTTATAATTCAGACGAATCCACTGGACTTTGAAGGTGGTGAAAGCTGAGAAGGAAAAGAGTTTGTGTATTTTGTCTTGTAGAGTTGCCTCTATCCATGAGTTTATCAAGAGACATTCCTGCAGATTTGTTCTGATGTCAGGACTCATGCCAAAAGGCCTTGGAATTTCTCAGGAGAGAATCAACTTAATCCTTTTGCTTTCATGTGCTAACTTTGTAGCCTCTAGGTTTCTTTGCTGGGTCATGGGCTGACCTGAGTTAACCCTGTCATGGAGGTTATGAATCTGCTTCACCATCACTGAATTCAACCCAAATACTTTGTGGGCTGTTTTCTACTGCATTAAAAACACTCTGTTGTTTGTTAATTTTTAAAAGCAGTTGGACTTTTCATCCATCTGCCTTTTTATTACATTTGAAAAGAAGCAAATGTTGCTGTGATCAGCCAAAGGGCTGTTCTTGCATATTCACAGGTTCTGAACACAGTAGCATAGTCCCTCCTGCTCTGATATTGCAGTGAATGAGAAAAACTCATTAATGCCATTTTTCTGCCTTGGTGTTGAGGCTTTGTTGTGTTTGAAGTGACAGCTTTGGGTGTCTCTCAGCAGCTCTGCCCTGTGTCTGAGACAGGAGAGGCATTGCTGTGTGAGCAGACTGAGAGCCCTGCTGTTTACTGTCAGCTGTATGCTCAGATCATACTTATAATTAATTCAAGCATCAGACAGGACTTGCCCCTTTCCAACAAGCCTGTTTTGTTCCAGAGCACCCTTCTCCAGCAGCTGGGAGTTGCCCCTTTTTCTGAAGGTCCGTGGCCTCTCTACATCCACCCTCAAAGTCTGTCTGTGCTGTCCCGACTGCTCCTGATCTGGCAGCATAAAGCCTCTGCCCAGGGAGATCCTGATGTTCCAGAGTGCCTTAAAGTCTGGGAAAGGTGAGATCATTTCATGTTAAGCTGGAAATCACTCATCTCTTACCTGTCATTTCCTGTCAAGTGAGAATTCTCTGGCCCCAGCATTCCAAGTGAGTGTGTTCACTGATCTGGGATCCCTGGGGGGAGCAGAGGGTCAGTCTGCTGTGCTGGGAATCCTTCACCCAGAGCCCAGGAAATGATTCCTGCACTCAGGAGCTTGGTGGGAGGAGGCTGAACTGCAGCAAGGCTGGCTGTAAAAAGGGAAGGAGGATCTCTTACTTTTCAGCAGGTTTCTGATGGGTCCTGTTAGGAGGGTGCTGAGATTGTTCCCCTCTGCCATTATCTGGCTTTCACTGATAGGGTTTAGGTGGTTTAAAGCTCTAATGAACAGGTTTGATTCACCCCTTCTCCATTTGAGTGATTTTTCCTATTTTCCACTAAATATATTTGCCACTGATTTCATTTCTGTAGGTTTTACTGCTCACACAGTCTCATTCCAATACATAATTTGTGAAATTGCCAGTATTAGAACAGTCAGCAGACAAACAAAATTATTTCTAGTTAAAGAGATTTTAAAGAGGGATCTAAACTTGGCAAACTTCCCTCTCCTGTTGCCAGGTTTGTGGGCACCCTGAAGCAGAACGCCTTGCAGGGCACTCTCCCCGGTGACACAGAGGATCTGAATGTGGAGCATCTCCAGCTGCTGCTGCTCATTTTCCACAATTTCTCCGAGAGGGGCCGCAGGTCCATCATGATGCTCTGTATCCAGACCATCGTGGAGCTGACAGCAAACATGGAGAGCCAGCAGTGCTCTGTGCCCCTCCTGGTGGCACGGCTGCTGCTGGTGTTTGACTACCTGCTGCACCAGTACTCCAAGGCCCCCGTGTACCTGTTTGAGCAGGTGAGGCTTTGACAGCTGGGTACTGAACTGCTCACCCAGCAGGGATCTGTGATGGGCACTCATTTGGTGTGTTCCCTCCATGACCCTTGTGGGTAAATCAGTTTTGATGTTGTTACCAACCCTCAGAGTTCAATGAATGGTTAATTAAGTTCCTAGCAGCAGGTTCAGTTGGAGTGTAAATTCCTGGTGTGACTGGTGTCTTAATAAATCCTAGCAAGGGCAAGATGATTGTCCCACCATATCTTTAATATTTGGCTGTTTATTTCTTGAATACCTTTTGTAGTTTCTTTGGTTTAGTGTTTGACCATGGAGGTTTTTGGGACTGTCCTCATTAATGGGACAATATGGTGCTTTGTGCCTGGCTTTTCCAGCTGTGGGAAGCTTGGCCATGGATTTAAACTGCTCAGTCCAGAATAAAAACCATCAGAGAGGGTCCAGGGCTTCCCCCAGGAGAGGGGAATATTGTGTTTTGAGTAGGACTGTTTCTGTTTTGTGTTTCTTTCCCTGTGGGTGGTGTTTTCCCCCTGCCCCTCAGTGACAAGGATGCCATGGGTGAGTTTTTGTTTGGTTTTTAAATTCAGGTACAATATAATTTGCTGACTCCACCCATTGGCTGGGTGAGTGGATCCCAGGACAGCAGCAGACGAACATCTGTCCCACTTTACCATGGCTTTAAAGAAGTGGAAGAAAACTGGACCAAACACTGTTCATCAGGTAAGAAGGAAAATGTAAGGAATTTTTTATTGCAAGATTTGCTTTTATAAATAAATGAGATCCTTTTCTGTGCCTTGGTTTGGGCATCTTTTCCTGCTTTTAGTGGCCATAGTTACAATAAAAATACATGTCATGATGCAAGAATTGTATTATTAAACAAAATTCAAAGTTGTTCTCTCCTAGGAGTATGCAACAAGTAATTAAAAATAAGTGTGTGTTAATTTTGCCAGGATTGTAGGAGTAGGAAAGCTTTGGCTGCCTATCCCACAGCTTAGAGCACCAATAATGGGTCATGGATCTCACCTGGGACCTGCTTGGGGTCATACAATGGTTGTGGGGATGGAGGAGAGGCTGTAACACAGTGTGGCCTGTTGAAACTGCCACTTGAAGGTTATCTTTTGTTCTCACATTGCAGACTCTGCTCCACAGCCCAGGTTCTACTGCATCCTGTCTCCAGAAGCTTCTGAGGATGATCTGAACCGTCTGGATAGCACGGTATGGCACTGCTGGTGGAGACTTTCTGCTGGGCCATGGGCGTTTGCCAAGTGCCAGGGAAAGCAGACAAGAAGGGAAGACGATTAAAAAGAGGGACCAGGAATCTTTCACTGAATGTGTAAAAGAAGAGTGGCCACATAAGATGACATGGGATTCCTTCTTACCCCTAGCTGGATGTCAGAGCAGTCACTGTGCAAAATCTGTGAAGATTTGTTGTAGTACTTGCAGGAATGTTTGGGATTCAGACAAAGACACATTTAGAGTTGTTTTCTCATCACTACTCCAGCTTCTCCCTGGGTTTTGTTGCCATCAGGGTTCTGGGCTCTCCTGCCTGCTCCTTATCCCCAGTCCATTGATCCTCAGTCCCAACAGAACCTCTCTCTGAAGTTTATTTTGCAAGGTTTTGGGCTGTGGGTGTTCTGAATGCTTAAAGAGCTTTGCAAAGCAGGGTCCTGGTTTCTCATCTCCTGCAGGTGTGTGAGGTGCTTTTCTCCAGGGCTACGAAGTACGACGAGCTCTACGCAGCCCTCACCTCATTGCTGGCTGCTGGCTCCCAGTTTGATACACTCAGGAGGAGGGAGAACAAAAATGTCACTGCCCTGGTAAGACTGTCTGGCTGCCTGTGTGGAAGAATAACAAGTTTTTAAACTTTGTGTTTTCAAGCAAAGTATTTAACCGAAGTATTTTGGACTTTGCTTGGAGTAACGAGGAATTTAAAAATCTCATAGCTGACCATAGTGTTTGTGGTGGCTGCACATCTCTTGAGCTTTTAATTCATAATGTGCTTCAGGCTTGCTATAAGTCTGTGGTAATTCCAGGAGGTGTGGCTAGAACATGATTAAAAAGGAGAAAAGTGTATAATTTTTCCTTTCTCTTTTCTCACTCCTGTGTTGCATATTTTATTGTTTAATATGTCAGAAACTCAGTCCAGAATGTGTTCATCTGGTTTGGCACATCTGCAGGAGTGTGGAGCCCCTGAGGAGATATTTCAGTAGCTGTAATGATGCAGACTGCAATCTTTCTGTACTAATTTTTCTGCTTGTTCCTCTGTTTAGGAAGCCTGTGCCCTTCAGTACTACTTCCTGATCCTGTGGCGCATCCTGGGGATTTTGCCTCCCTCCAGAAGCTACATGCACCATCTGGCCATGAACACCCCTGAGATGAGTGACTGTGACCTCCTGCACACCCTGCGCTGGTCCTCCCGCCTGCAGATCCCCTCCTACGTGGTGTGGATCAAGGTACAGCCTCAGCTCATGGGCTGCTGACAGTGACAGTGACAGTGACACTGACTGCACGTGGGATTTCTTCTGGGGGCACTTGTTCCTGTCTTTTCTAAACTGGTTAGTTCCAGAGCACTGCTCAGGTGTGATGGATCTGGGTTTTGGCATTTGTAGGATCACCTTATCAAGCAGGGCATGAAGGCTGAGCATGCTACTCCTCTCATTGAGCTGACCTCCAGCAAGTGCATCTCAGTGAAGTACGACGTGGAAATAGCAGAGGAATACTTTGCTCGACAGGTGAGGTGTGGGAGTGCAGCTGGACCTGCAAACTTCTCTTTCTGTGGGATGATCTGCACTTACTGCTCCATCTTCTGTGTTTGCAGATCTCTTCTTTCTGTGCTGTTGACTGCACAACCATTCTCCAGCTGCACGAAGTCCCCAGTTTACAATCCATTTACACCCTTGATGCTGCCATCTCCAAGATCCAGGTTTCTCTAGATGAGCACTTTTCCAAGTCAGCTGCAGAAACTGATCCCCAGAAGTCCTCAGAGATAACCAAGAACCTCCTCCCTGCCACACTGCAGCTCATTGACACTTATGCTACTTTTACCAGGTACAGTCCTTGGGATTTCCAGCAGCAGTACAATTTCCTGCTGTGCTTTGGGCTTCCTCTGCATTTTGTGTGTTGTTTTCTTAGAAGTGCCTTGGAGTTTTATGGTCTGAAGTAATTACTTTGTGTCCTCTAGAGGGTCCATTGCTTTAAAAGAAGAATAGCAAGTAGCTTCTCAAGCCATGCATGGGACTTTGTTGTTTCTGAGTAGCCTCCTTGTCTGATCTTCCAAGGCTTCCTTGCAAGTTTGCAAAACCAGTTTTTCCTCCAAAGATAAAACCACCCTCTAGGATAGTGCTACTTAAGGTCATTTCTCTGGCATAGTACTGAGGGCTGTCAGACCATCAAGAAGGAGAAGGGGGAGTTAATTCTTACATTAAAAAAAATCTAAATTCTTCTAAACTCTCATTAGAACCTGTGTAGAAGAAAGCAAAAGTAAATCAGCTTTTTCTTTTTGGGCACTTCTCCTGCTAAGTAGCTTAGAGGGGATAAAAGCCCACAAGTCCCTTAGTGGTGTGAGATGAAGTGGGGGGCAGAACTTCAGAAATTTGTGTTTTATCTGTCACTCCAGTGACACACTGAGCTGTGAGCTGCAGAGCTGAGGTGAATCTCTCCCTCCCTCCCTCCTGCAGGTCCTA